ACCACTTGAAACATGTATCGGAACCCTCCAGCCATTTTAAACCTGAAGGTGGATAAATGCATGTAGACGGTTGCACATGGACCACGCCCCCACGTAAGGCATCCGAGCTCAGGCCGCCAACAGGCGTGAGGGTGGGGGGACGTGGGGATGGCATCCCCATGAAGGCAGCAGGAGAGGACTGTGAGCCGGGAGACAGTCTATTGTTGTAGAAAAGGTCTTTCCATATTCTGTGCTCTTCAAAGAATAATTAAAATCTTTATGACCATTATGTAATTTTGTAGCAGATTAATCCTGTACTTTGTTTTCTTTCATTCTGGAGAACCTTATGCAACTTCTCAAACTTCCCCCCACCCCCCACCCCCCACCCCCCGCACAAACATTAACTTAGATACAAGAATCGCATATATTTTCTTTCATCGGGACTCAGCTAAATAACCTACTTCGTGAAATGGCAATATCCTCAGAAGCTTTTGTGTGCCTGGTTTTTTTTGTTTGTTTGTTTTTGGCCATTTTTTGTATGTGCCTTGACCCCTGAGTTCCAAATAGACAAGAATTTTTGTTTTCAATAACTCTCAGCACCAGAGTCTAACAGTGCATCGGCGAACGCGGGGTGGCGCCTCTCCTTTCGTTCCCTGAGTTATTCCCCACGCTGGTTTCTTCTCTGTGCCACTCACTTGGCTCTGCCGCATATGCAGCCCCGTGGTTCCCACTCTGGCACACTTCACCTCTGCCCAGGCCACAGCTCGCTCCTTATTCTTCTCCTGCCCATCCTTTATGACTAGTCTTATGCACATAGTAAGTACTAAAAAAAAAGAATTTTTTTTAGAGAGAGTGGATAGCATGCACTCAAGAGTAGTGGGGAGGATGGGGCGCCTGGGTGGCTTAGTCGGTTAAGCGTCCGACTTTCGCTTAGGTCATGATCTCGCGGTTTGTGGATTCAAGCCCCGCGTCGGGCTCTGTGCTGACTGCCAGCTCAGAGCCTGGAGCCTGTTTCAGAGTCTGTCACTCCCTCTCTCTCTGACCTTCCCCTGCTCACGCTGTCTCTCTCTCTCCTAGGAAAAAAAAAAAAAAAAAAGAGTAGTGGGGAGGAGGAGAGGAAAAAGGAGAGAAAGGGAGAGGGACACAGAGAGAGAGACAGAGAGAGAGAGAGAGAGAATCTCAAGCAGGTTCCATGACTAGTGCATGGAGCCCCACGTGGGGCTTGTCTCACAACCGTGAGATCATGACCTGAGCTAAAATCAAGAGTTGGATGCTTAACTAACCCACCCAGACACCCCCCGAAAATATTTTTTTAAGTTGATAACATGAATTTGGGAAAAGCATCAATGTGACTAGACTGCTAAATAATGCAGGAAAATATAGGAGTCTGAAATGAATATGTTCTTGGTAAATATGTATAGGCAAACATTAAGTCACTTTATTTTAATAAATAATTATTGGGTCAATAAAAAACAAGCCTATAAAATATTTCTTATTTTCGATTATATACACATCTATTATTTCAGGAGCATTCTCATGCACTGATGATGGGGATGTAAATTGGTACAGTTATTATGGAGGGCAGGTTGGAATATGTATCCAAAGCCTAGAAGTCATGATGATATTTAAATTTATCCCAAGGAAATTATCATAGATGTGCATGGAGATTTAGCTGTCAGGGTTTTATCATGGAGTTATTTGTAGACAGTGAAAAATTAAAACCACCATACCTTACAAGTGTCTACAAGAATAAAGTATATTTTATCAATTCAGTTGAATAACATCTAACCATTGTATGGGAAGTTGTGGAAGAGAAGTTAACGAGTATGGAATAAAAGGTTATTTATAGGGAGTTCTATTTGTGGAACTATGGGCTATTACACATCTTGAATGACCTTCCCAAATGGAAATGTTGAAGTTCGAATAAGATAAAGTGTATACTTTCAGAACACTATTACCTGAGGTGGAAACAACACATCTTATAGATCCCAAATGAGATGAAAGCAAGACTAGAAAGTGAGCATCAAGTTGGCTTTTGCCCTGAGTTCCTGCTGAAACGTGAAGCCCTTTCAGGGCTGCACAGGTTACGGGCATCTAGAAGCAGACTCCTCACAGGCCTCAGATTCCAAAGAGCTACACCAGCAATGTAAGAACAAAAAAAAAGTAAACCTTGTTTTAGACAGGAGAAGGCAAGGACATTTACCTGTCTTGAAGATGTAAAAGAGCAAAATGCTAAAAATAGCCAAGACCCTCTCAAACAGAAAAGCAAGATAGCTTAAGTTATCACTCTAGTTATCAAGACCTACTATAAAGAAGGAGAAATTAGGGGTGTCCTTGGGTGGCTCAGTCAGTTAAGCGTCTGACTCTTGGTATCAGCTCAGGTCATGATCTCATAGTTTGTGAGTTCAAGCCCTGCGTCTGCTTGGGATTCTCTGTTGTCCTCTCTCCCTACCTCTTTCACTCTAAGTAAATAAGCATTTTTTTAAAAGAAGGAAAAATTAAGACAGTGTATTTTTAGCAGAAGCTTAAACAAATAGACTAACAGAACAGGATAGAGAGGCACAGGACAGTGCGTACCTGGACAGGGCTCGTTAGTGGAAAAGGATGAACTAGTCAACAGAGTGCTCAGACTATTGGTCATCCATATGGAAAACTGTAATTGGATCTCTAACCCCACATCAAACACAAAAAATAATTTCATATGTATTAAGACTTACATGTAAAAAGAAAAAATGATAATAGTCTGAGAAGATAACATAAAATAATAACTCTCTGACCTCAGAATAGAGAAAGCTTTCTTAAATAAGTCACAGAAAATGCAAACCATAAAAGAAAACACTGAAATTTCAGCTACAAAAAATAGGAACTTCTGCTCATCAGGTAATAATAGCATTGACAGTTAATGCAGTGGCTACATACATCAACATCGGTGAATCCCAAAAACATAATCCTGAGTGAAAAGCAGTAAAGAATACATACAATATCATTACATTTATATAAAAGTTTACAAAATGGAAAACTAAAAACTCTGTTTTCTTCTGGTAGTTTTACAGTTTCAGGTCTTTATAATTCTTTAATCCATTTCAATTAATTTCTGTAGGTGGTTAAAATAGGGATCTAGTTTCATTCTTTTACAGGTATATTTCCAATTTTCCCAGCATTTTTAATGTTAAAATTTGCTTAGAGAAAGTAGTGGAAAGATACCTGCCATGGGCTAAAAAAAATGTCAGCCTCACCATGGTCAGAGGTTACAAGTGCTTTTGATTTTCTTCTTTTGGTTTAATCTCAATTTTATGAAACTCTTACCTATTGTTTCTATAAAATGATAGAGGTTGTTAATAATTTTGCAGAAAGTGTTCATTGTCCTTCCTGACCCCTCCATGTGGCATATAATGTATTGATACTGACATATATTGTCATATTACTGGTTGATCCACCCAGAGGGGACTACACATGCTGCCTTCTATCCTCAGAATTTGTGAGGATTCCTCTAGCCTGAAGAAAAAATAGAACTGTAGGTATTTCTGTTTTCTACCTGCCTTGTCTTGACTTGCTCACTCTCAGAATTATACTATTGGTGATGCTGTCAACAACCCCAGCAGTGCTGTTAATGTCATCTGTGCCTGCAGTTTACCAATAAGTAAAAACCATTGAAATAAACTGAGAATAAGTATGACCCAGAACTCACAGATGTATTCCTAAATTTAGTTTTGTTTCTCACTGTCTTTTTAAACCTGCTTAGAAGGAGTCATCCTTTTCTTGAACCTGGATTAAAACGTGGGGAGATCTATCGAATTTTCTGCTCCAACATAATAGACACTTTATTTTGCAAATATCCTCTCAGTTTATTAGTTCAAAGGGCCCACTTCAAAATACTAACAACTTTTTGCTCTTCATAACTGTTGACCTAAACCCAGCCAGGGTTTACCACATGAACGGAAGGCCTCCAAAGATGGTATGATCTGTTACTGCCTTCTCTCCCCAGTCTAGTGATTGCTGACTCAGTGCCACATACCACGTCCTGAATGGCCTTCCTTGACTTGCCCCATTGTCTGATGATTTAGTGCTCCCCAGGGCTTGGCAGGGACATAAAGTAACCCTTTCTCTAACGTGCCCAGAGTGTAGGGTTGCCATATTTGGGGGAGAGGGGAATACAGGACACACAAATAAATTTGGATTCAAAGGCACACAACGAATAATTTCTAGTACATCTCAAGTGTTGCTTATCTGAAATTCAAATTTTGGGATATACCAAAAAATTATTCATTGTTTATCTGACACTGAAACTTAATTGGATGTCCTACATTTTATCTGGCATCTCTACCTTTGCTTTTATTAGGTTCCTCCCAATATCATTCTCTCAACCCAGACAAGGTCTGTCATCAAAATAGGAAGTCCCCTTTGCCTCTCAGATTCTGCCCAGCCATAAACTGAGTGTCTCTTACTGTTGAGACCTCTTCAGCTACCAGGATGCCCTCTGGGCAAGATCCCTTTCATATGTCCCCAAGCTGATCCTAAGTCAGAGTGTCACAACCCGTCCCTGGGATTCACTGCCATCTGCCTGGCCTCTGGAGGGGTCCACAGTTCCTTTTGCAGCCCCAGGCACTGGACCTACGTGTTCACCAATGTGAGGGGATGTATATCAAGCTGAATTTCTTTCTTCTAGGCTTAAGGTTAGGAGGCAGCAGCTGTGTTCACCGCCTCTCCCTTGGTGGTGGTGTGAGGTGGGGAGAGGGCACTTACAGTGATGTTCCGTCCAAAGAAATGACTCTCTGAAGTCTCTCTCAGTCTCCACATGCTTACATTTTTGATGTGGAATCCAGTAATCCTTTAATCAGCCATTAACTCATTCCCTTGACAGTTTGGATCCTGTTTGATTCATAACTTGCTTTGATGTACAGAGTCTTTTCTGTCTTGGAACCTCAGTCTAAATTGCCAAGTTAACACCAGGATGATACATAGGTGTGTATCCATCTCTGTTCAAGTGCTCAAATCCTGTGGCCTTCTTTTTCAACCGACAGCTGCAACTGCCTCCCTGGGTGGAAAGGAGAACTCTGCATGGAGACAGTTTCCACCTGTGACCCTGAACATGTCCCTCCACACCACTGTAGCAAAGGAGCCACTTGTGTTTCATTGCCTCATGGGTATACCTGTTCCTGTCCTCTGGGAACCACTGGAATCCACTGTGAACAAGGTAAAGCAGAATTTCAACTCCTGCTAATTCACAAATTAACTAAGTCAGTTTCCTTTTTGAAAAGACAATGAAAAATATATAATAATCTTCAGCTTGTGTAAGATCTGGATCTTCTCCACATTACATGCACAGTACAGGATACGAGGGAGTGGGTGGAATAGAGCGGTCTTGTTCTCGCCGTCATAAAGAGAGATGAACACAAGTCATTTCTCTGCTGTCCTCCTTGCTGCCCCATAGCACAAACTCCTCTCCATGGAGCTCACTCACCTAACACTGGCAGAAGGAATGTGGTTCTCTACTGCCCATCATCCCCAAACCGCAAGTGAGAACTCCACACCGCGTTTCATGCTTTCTCCTCCTAGAACTTCCCTGACCATCTCTGCCTCCCCCAGCCCTTACAGGCAATATTGATGGGAGGGTTGGTAGAACACAGCCATCTTTAAACCTCCTCAATCACACTGTAATCTTCTCTAGGAAGCCTAGGGCAGGAGAACTCCTCAGGTGAACAGTGACCACAAACACAAGGTCTAAATAGGGACCTTGGAAACTGAGTCTCATGGAAGAAATCAGGAAAGCATATGCTGCTTAATATCTCAAGTCTTGCATGGGGCGCCTGGGTGGCACAGTTAGTTATACATCCGACTTCAGCTCAGGTCCTGATCTCACGGTTCATAGGTTCAAGCCCCATGCTGCGCTCTGTGCTGACAGCTCAGAGCCTTGAGCCTGCTTCAGATTCTGTGTGTGTGTCTCTCTCTCTGCCCCTTCCCTACTCACACTCCATCTGTCTTGTCTCCCTCTCAAAAATAAGTAAAACATTTTTAAAAAATATTATCTCAAGGGGCGCCTGGGTGGCTTAGTCGGTTAAGCGTCCGACTTTCACTTAGGTCATGATCTTGCGGTTTGTGGGTTCGAGCCCCACGACAGGCTCTGTGCTGACTGCCAGCTCAGAGCCTGGAGCCTGTTTCAGTCTGTGACTCCCTCTCTCTCTGACCCTCCCCTACTCACGCTGTCTCTCTCTCTCTCCTAGAAATAAATAAAACATTTTTTAAAAATTAAAAAAAAATTATCTCAAGTCCTACAGCTTCCAAAAATCAATACTTCATATTTTGTCATATTTGGTGTAGCAAATTGGTGTAGCAGCAAAATTGGTCTAGAAGACGACCTCCATATCACCATGCACAGAGTCCTAACAATTCAGCTGTCTCATGGCCCAGGTGTGTTACCATAGGGCTAATGGAATGGCCTGAGTGAAGCTACCCAGCCAGCCAGTCAGGATCCAGCTGCACCACCCAAGTGGGTCCTGTCCTTCATTTTGTTGCCCCCTGCTGGCCCCTGTCTTGTCTAGTTTAAATATCACTAGGGATGATTCTGGATTTGGGGGCTGGCTGGGACTTCAAAGCAGAGTGGCGAGACATCCAAGAAACTCACAGTTAAGGAATCTGATGAGATGAAGCCACAAAAATAGCAGGTAAAACCCTTATGTCCCCCTATCTCCAGGCTTTCTGAGATTGGATAATCTACAATTATTCTCTCCCACCCCACCTTCCACCCAGAAGGTAAAGCTTCAGCCTTTATTTCCCCTATTTAGGAACAGAGGCTGGCATAGAGTCAGGAGCCAATCATCAATTGTGTTATATACACCTTTGCATAATTTGGGGGAGTTATTGTAATGTATTCAGATGTGTGGTAAGAACAAATTTAATCTCTCTCAGATCACTTTATCAAATATACTAATGCAAACATTTTTTTATCCTATGTTCTTTGAGATTCTGTGAGTATCAATACTTCCTCCGAAAGTATTAACAGAAGACATTGCAGATTGAGAATACTAGTGATTTAATGACAGAAATTTTTAATCATGTCATAAGGCGTGACTATAAAATAATGAGATGGAGTTTTGTGTCTGGCTTATGGAAATGAGTCTTTTTCATAATGACATTGGTGGCAGAGCTTGATCTTGTATAGAGAGCTTGAATTGTATAAAATATTGCCTGTAAGGGCTGGGGGAGGCAGAGATGGTCAGGGAAGTTCTAGGAGGAGAAAGCATGGAACACGGTGTGGAGTTCTCACTTGCGGTTTGGGGATGATGGGCAGTAGAGAACCACATTCCTTCTGCCAGTGTTAAAGCTGTTCTTAGTTCCTAGAATATGCCACACTCCATCTAGAATAGGAATTTTATTCATACTCTTTCCTCTGCCTTATGCATTCATGTTCCCCTCCACACTTAGCTAACACTTACTTATCCTTCAGATTTCAACTCAGACTTTACTTCTTTAGGGAAGCGTTCCCAGATTTCCTCCCTGTCATAGAACTGAGAGCAGTGACCATGCCTGTTTTTGTCTATTGTTGTTGAATCTCTAAAACCCATTATATAGTGCAGATCAAAAAATACATGTATCTGTCACATACAGTTCAACTTACTGGTTCTAAAATAATAAAAACTGATTGTGACAGTTTTCAAGAAATAGTTTCTGACTTTAGTGAAAAGCAAAGTACTTGAAACTTTACCAAGATGATGTACCTTTATTACTCCCAAAGAGATAGCTATTATAAACCGAAAGAAATAAGTTCACAGAAGGGCTAGTGATTATAACAATAGGGCAAGCTAGATTTTTGAAGCTTAAGAGCTCAAATGATGAAAGCCTAGGGGATTAACCCAAAATTTTAGTGTGTTTATATAAATAAGCAATATTTGAATATATATAAGTTCATGTAGAGAGATGTAGATAAGAGATGATAGATGACAGGTAGGTAGGTATATATCAACTGATCGATCGATAATCGATAGATGGAGAGAGAGAAATAGTGACAGTAATAAAATTATTTCATAGAGTCTACAAACTATGATAAAAGCTGCCAGAAAAATTATGTCAACCTCATCATTTTCCTTCTTCTATTTCCCCATTCCAAGAAACCTTAAGTCTTGGAAAGAAAATCAATCTGTACATGGAACATCTGACTTACAGCTTTCACACCTACCTAGTTTTATGTCCACCTTTTTTTTTTTTTAAGTTTATTGAGAGGGGCAGAAAGAGAGGGAGAGAGAGAATCTCAAACAGGCTCCACACTGTCAGTACAGAGCCCAACTTGGGGCTTGATCCAGTAACTCTTGGATCATGACCTGAGCTGAGATCAAGAGTCAGATGCTTAGCCAACTGGGCCACTCAGGTGCCCATGACCATCTTTATTGTAAATAAGCCCCACCCCTAATACAAATCAAAACCCATGTTTCTAATCTCTGAATGCAAATCTGATGAAGCTGTGGAGGGTAAGGATGGTAAAAGGGTGTCATTTGCCTCAAAATACAGTCTAGCATTAGTAACATTTGTTCTTTTCTCCTTCCCTTGGAGTAATGCTTATAGAATGGGTTATTCACTAATATATTAAGATTGTTTATGAGTTCCAGACCAAGTGTTGGGAATACTCCCTTAACGAGACAGCTGCCCAGCCAGCTTCCATAAAAGATACATTCTAGTAGGAGGAGTCAAGCAAACACCATATCCACCAGTCAATGAGGAAAAATATAGTTTGACTTAATGCCATAAAGGAAATAAAGAGGAAGAGGAGATAGAAAGTCATTGGAAGAGTACATTTTATTTGGGATGGTCAGGAACGTACTAAGTAGGGACATTTGAGCTGAGCTGACATCTGGTGAGAATTATCCATGTGTGAAAGCATGTGGGACAAGTACTCTAGGCAGAGGCTAAACCTAGTAACAGGAAAATATTACTTATTTTAGGGAGAGAAAGGCAGCCAGTATTCCCAGGAGATGGTATTATAAGATGATTTTGGAAAGGCAAGCAGAAGTCAGACCATATAGAGTATTGGAAAACATGGAAAATAATTTTAATTTCATGCTAACAAAATAAGAAGGCTGTGATGATTATAAGCAGGAGATTTGCATCCTGTAACTTGCTTCAAGTAACTCATGATTTTGTTTCTGCTGTGTCCTTTAACTGTTTAAGCCTCAGTTTCATTATCTATAAAGTGGCAATAATTAAGTGTGCCCTTCCAAGTGTGCCCCAATATTAGCCATGTGCCCTTCCTCCCACCCCTCCCCCTCGGCTCTGTACCCCAGAGGCCCTCTCAGAGGATTGCATCATTGGGCTCCCATCCAATCTGCCTCCAGTTGAGTTTAGACAATAGAAGTCACAAGTGATTGATGGGAGGACAGGAGAGTGAGACAGGTTATTTATTTCCCTAGATCCCTTGCTATTAGGTCACCAAAAGTTACCTGTCTCCAAGGACACGGTTTCTGTCAGGAGGTCCTCACCTTCTCCAGCTTCAGGCCTAAGAGTGGAAACAGCTCCCTATTGAGACTAAGCCCAGGGCAACACCCCAGCTCCTGTAGTTTCCCTGAACCCTGCCCACATCTTTGTAAATGGTCTTCATTCCCTTATTTTCAAACTACCCTACATAAGCATACCATCTGTTCATGGCTAAGACTCTCACCGATATAATAACTATGATTTTGCCTACCTTACAAAATTCATGGGAGGCAATGTATATAAAAGTTCTTTATTAAGTATAAAATGCTAATAAAATATAAAGTATTATTTTTCCTCTTGTTCTCAAAATCCAAAATTCAGAACAACACTCTAATAAAATAACTCAGCCATATTATTAAACCTACGTTTTGGTATCAAGAGTTCCAGGAGTGTAGAATCATAGGACATCACCAATTATCTTCTAGTCCAACAGTATCAATTTATAAATGAGGAAACTAATGCTCAGAGATATTAAACAATGTACCGAAAGTCTCAGAATCAAGTCTCTTCACTCTCAATCCAGTTATTGGCAGTTGCTTAATAATTAGTTAATAAAGTCATAGCATATTATCAGTGAGTTCACTAAGACTCTATTTCTAGATCTTAGCAGTCCCTTATAATAGCCATTTCATTAAGTAAATATAGCATAGGAAGTGACAATGTAGAGGTAACATATTTATCGTGACTATCATATTGCAGTTATCTAAGAAAGCCTAATAAAGGAGCAATGTA